CCATTCGAACTAAAACCACGAAACATGAAACCGAACATGTCCGACCGCTCACGTCAGGGGCAAGAAGAAACAACGCTGTCTAAAAAAAACAATGCCGGCAGAGACATGTCGAAAGCAAAATCGAACACTGACACCTATTTCCCGCTTGCCTTGCCGAGGAACTTGTGAACAATGAGCTTCTTCTCGTTCTTAGAGAGGTACTTGGCAGTCTTCGCTTCCTTCTCAACCTTGCGTCGCTTTCGCCCTGAGCCTGAGTATCCAAATGCATCCGGCGTAGGTTTGGGGGGGGCGGGGGGGGCGTAATCTCATGTTTTGCATGCCCTAGCGGGTAGAGCATTGACCACGCGTCCTCGAGAGGACGGAGCATAGGATCACCGATGGCCGATCGTTCCTTCCTGATTGTTACTTTTTTGTATTGTTTCGTGTATCATCCCCGTTTAGTCCGGTACTCTTTCCATGAGTTGTCCAGTTTGCAATCAGCCGTTCACGGACCATGGCATCATCCTTTCACTGACTTGTAGGATGACGCCAATATTACCTAAATTGTATCTCCCATGGAATACAAATGTGTGCCTCCGGAATTAGGAATTGCCAACACCTGTCGTAGGTAATTTAACAAATAAATAAAAATTAGGCGAGCACCCGCTAGACAGTCAGTAGCAGGAAGCTGCCAGTCATGCCACTGGGACATCAACACGGTTTCTGTATGACGCGCAATTGGAGTAGCCGTCAGCAAAAGGGCGAGGCCGCGCCAGTCACCGCTAGAGAGCCAATGCTGGAATAGAAACAACAACAGGATTCTAGAGGTTAGACCAGGAGATCAACATCCCAAAGCCGTCACAGCCCGGCCGGTGCCCGTGCGGGTCCGTTGCTGCTGCCAATCCCACGATGATCGTTCTTTTGGGTGGTTGCCTTCCTTTTGGATATGGAGGGGTTCGCAATACTTGCTGCAAAAACTACTAGAGCAACGAATTTTCTGTCATCTTCTGCAATGACATTGGGAGCAAGTATGATGTCGGCAACGAAGAGGGTTGAGCTATACAGCACCTCCCAGTGAGCTGAGCCCACCCAGCCATGCGATATTGCACCAGCAGGGTATCCCCGTCGTCGGGGGATCCAGAGACCCTAACCTAAGCAGCAGTCGGAAGAGCTACAATTGTATGCATGTACATTGTTGTCGACAGGCCTTTTACGCTACGCAGCGCTGCGCTCGCAAGCAGATTATTGACACCGAGCAGCACGCGAAAGTAATGCCCCACACCAGCAGCGGGTGGTAGTACCACGCGGAAAAAAGATCCCACTGCGTGAATGTGTGCGTTCGGCGGCATTTCTCAGTGCGCCCGGAGAAACGAGACATTTCTCGGGAAGGTTATCGTGAGTGACGCAAGATACCACACCCCCTGGACCGGTTTTCAAAGCGCGACTACTCCACCAAGAAGAGGATGCAGTAACGCAAAGCCCTCTACGAGACGGCTCCAACGCCACCGTTTTCGGCACCGCCACCTATTGTGCTGTGGAGCAATCGACATATGTAAAAATCGGTCCAGGGGATGGGTTATCTCATGATCTACGTATACTACCGCCAGAGGCCCTGCTAGCAGGCGTAAGGTTAGCGACGAGGGCCCGACAAGTGCACAGACGACCGGTCGGCTCGAAAACAAATCAGGTCACACGCTCTCGTGGTCAACCTCCACTGACTTATCTCTACAAGTATTCTGCACAAACCTGGGGGGAGGGCAGCGCCACACCCCGCTCAGCATTCCCAGCAGGTACACCACAAATACTAGTTAAACATTAACATCGCAAAATCTACACGAGAGATGGGTCTGTACTGCTGTCCATGTTTCCTTGCCTCCTGAATAGAGATTTCGTCAACCTATGTTACGACGGAAATCGTGTCTACTTCTCTCCCAAAAAACCCGCAAAGCCACAGCCCAGCAAGTAGCTAGTACACAGGAGAGGAGACCTGTTTCAAAGTCGCTTCCCGTGCTATTATATTACAAGTAGCGCTCATCGAATCCACACGTGGTGGCGAGATTGGATGGGGTGGACACGAGACGTCGGATCTCCGCCTTTGGTGCACAACGTTGACCTTTCGCCTCCCATCTCATTACCACAAACTAACGAGGAAGCATGTACACCATTCGTCTCAAAACATCACCTGTGGTCAACGACACACCACCAAGAACAGGTGGCTCCCTGTTGGCTGCTGTCTGCCATTGCTGTACAGGCGTGAACTGCCATGACACACTCCGGCAGAAAGGAGTGGTGGCAGTGATGCAAGCACTTCAGTCTCCCATCTTCTCTCCATGACAAATGGCCCTCGCACGCACCTGCAGCATCTACGACGAACAGGGCCTTGTCCGGCTTTCGTTGCAGAACGGCCTCCTTTTGCTCCACTTCCATGGCCGAGGCAGCCTCCTCCGCCACGAGCTTCTCCCTAGCCCTGGCGGGCAGTCGGCGTTTGCGACCCATGACTTGACTCTGCTGCCGCTTGCTGCGATGTCTTGCTTGCCGCGGTCGAAGCCCCCTCTCCTTGGCGTCGGAAGAGATCACAACAAAACCGCACTCCTGGTGTACGGGGGGAGAGGTGTCTCAGCGACGGAGGGGTGCGTGACGAGCAGGACAGACAAGAGGGGACAGAGAACAGAGCACAGACCGCACGGGACCACACGAGACTGTGTGCCGGCAGGGGTCCGGCGGAGGAGAATGGTGGAGTTGCGGCAGGTTCCCACGGCGGCATTTGTTTTTGTTCTGGTGTGAACTGTAGATCGGATTCGACCCCGCGCACCAAAGCAGCAGAATCACGAAGCTACATCGTATGGACGCCAGCGATGCCCCGCTGCTAGACGAGCGCAGCAGAGATGCCCCTTCACTACTGTCCGCCCTGCAGAACCTTCTGCAACTCGACGCGCCGGCGATACCGATGACCAAGTGCAGGCTGCAGGTCAGAGAGGCAGAGCAATAGTAAACCCCTTGCAGTAAGTACATTGAGCTTGCCCTCGCCAGAGCACTTTCGCAGTCGAACGAGGTATGCATGTACCGCGACCTGCCGATGCGGGCGTACATCGTTGGTAGGCATGCATGGGCCCAAGAGACGAGCTGCAGGTACATCTTGGTATGCGGTGTATGCATAGATGCATAGACAACTACTGCTGGGTAATCTATGAGTAGAATTTTTCTAGATTTTTGTTTGTAGAGTGTTTGGGAATGAGAGAAGGTGCGCACACGTTGGACGCAGCGGAAGCAGCTTACGACTCTTGTCTCGTCGACGTCGAAATTGGTGGGAGTTCGTGGTCTTCATGTCGAAACACGATACAGTACTACTATACCTTACCCTGGGACCGACCCAGCAACACGACTGGTACTGTTTTTTGGGAATACATTGACTTCGTGAGTACTTCGTGACGTAGACTATTGAGGTCTCCATTTCGTGGGCTGGTTGGTGGGAACAGGTAAATTTTACCGGAAGAGCCTCCGACAACAGATAGATGCAAGGTTGTTGTTGCTCTCCTTTGCTTCTCTATGTTCAATTCCTTAGCGCCTTGCTTGTGCACCATGCAGCCCCGTAGAGTCCGACACACACCAGACCAGCTGGCTCGCAGCTTGTTCTTGGGCGCAAGATGCGAAAGAACTCCTGCACCTCCTCATGACGAAAATAGCGCAAGGTCTGACAACGCAAAATAACCCTGGTGACGGCACCATCATGTGGCCTCCTCCAAATCAACCTTTACAGTTGATTATGTTGGTGTCGCGGAGATTGGCAAGGGGGGTTCTTTAACGTCCACGTTTAGGTGTTCTTGTTGAGACCGTGCCGTGAATCTGTGCTGCGGTGAGCAAATCAAAACACTCTGATGATTGTACTGTAATGTTGTCGTGAGAAAGTTTTCCAAATGCACAGCGTACACATCCTGCACATCAACCAGAGTCTTCGCCAGCGTTCACTCCCATTGCTGCACTTGTAAGCAGGCGGTCATGGGGAACCTCTACAATGGTACAGCGCGTCCGGGTAGAACACTCTTCCTTCGGTCCACTCTACCACACCCTCTTCAGGCTCGACACGACGCGAAGCATCAAGATATCGGTAGTGGACGATATTTTGGCGTCCGCAGGCAGCAGGGGCTGGGATACCAAGCGTGCTGGCTGCGGACTTGAAAGGGCGAGAGGGCGACACGGCGTGCCCGAGGGAGATATTGGGTGAGAAAATGCGCGGAGTTTTTTTATCTGGGAGGAAGGACGTGCTGCGTGTCGCGGATATTGTTGCATACAGTGGTTTCGGTCAATGGGAACGAACGTGTCCGCCAGCTCCAGCTAGCTCTTGCTGGGTGTAAGACACAAGATGTCCTGGCTTCCGCAAAACGTTGCTCGTGTATCCTTATGAAACTAAGAGACTGTAAGCGGCAGGTCAGCCAGTAGAAGCTGCCGTTGTTACTGCCGTCTGGACTACTGCCGGTATGTGCATAAGGTGTACATTTCGAGGGAGGGATAGTCTCGTTCAATCACTCACACCGTGACTTCCCCCGCCCCGTCGCCGCCGGTCGTGCCTACCCAGGCCTTGCAAACCCTTTGCTACGGCAAGGAGACGGTGCTTGCTGTGGTCACCTTTATCACCACTGGAGCGCTGGGCAAGACCTTGTCCGCAGTTGCCGAGGCGAGGGCTGCACTTGTACCGCATTTTTCTCTAGAGCTGACTGAAAGTCCATATATCTATGTAAATCGTTTCTTAGTCGGGACGTCCACCCTTGACGTTCGGACGACAAAAAACGCAATCAAGGTGGAGAAAACTTTCGTGTCCCGGGGTGGTAGTCGTAGTAATTCGGACGCGTTTGAACATTTTGTTCCGTACACGAGACAAGGCGTTCACCGTGCTGTGATTTTGTTTTTCGAATTTTTCAACCTTGTCGAATGCGGTCAACAATCAGGTACGGAGTCGGGCGGGTACAGTTGCCATCGCCATGTCCATGACGAGCGGTGACCTCAGGCTTTTTTTTTTTCTGTCGGGGGCGGATGGGTACGACAATCAATCATGACTTGTTCTACCCGTGGGTGGTTGTACAGGGTCGGTGCTAGAGTCGCTGGGCACGGGCAACCTGGAGCCCAACAACCTGTCGACGACATAGCTGCCAAGGTTCTACCTTCTCGGACAACCTCCTAATGAATAATGACACACGGGGAGTGCATCGACGCCTCCTGTAACGGGATGGAGGCGTTACTTGACCCAAGAGGTGGGATGCGGCGAAACGTTTACCAGCATCTACGGCCGTACAGAATTGCCGGTCATAATCAACGAAGTTTTTTTTTGGGTGGCGCTCGGTAGCGGATGGAGCTGGGATAACAAGGTGCATTTTCGGTGGTCCGACATTGAAGGTACTGCATCTTGGATCGGCTTGTCCCAGAAGCTCGAAGTACGTACGTACCTGAACATGCGACTTACTTTTGACGAGACTATGACTGTTTGGCCTGCTTACTCTTCTTGTGGTTGCAATCGCTCCGCTCCCACGCCGAAGCGCCCACGGCAGAACCATGAAGAAACGCGTACAACATCCGCGATCGCATCACGTCTGGACGCATTCATTCCCAGTGTTTGACGGACCGCAACAAACGCCACCCTTAATAGCTCGTACTCCACCTGCCCCCCCCCCGCGACTACCAACTCCCGTGCCTCTGTGTCGCCGTCACGCAATCTCCCGATGCTTTCATACACACATGGCGATGTGCGAGGCGCCGCGACGATGACATGCGTTGGCGGCGTTGGTCAACGCCTGCGGGCACCGAGCCCTCACCGAGTTGGCCAAGGATCTCGGGGCTGTAGAGCCCCTGGGGAAAGTCCTCAAGGCAATTACCCTTCATAGTCCAGGCAACGTTGTGAGTGCCTCTTTGACGCGGCTCGAAAGACATGGATGTTTAGGGGGGTGCGTTGAGGAGGGAGGCGGTGTCGGCGAGGGCGGTGGTGGTGGAGGACTTGATGACAGCCTCCGGTTTTAATGTTTTCCGATTCAAGTGTCATTGTAGCCAGGGGGCAAAACTCGTCTGCCCAAGCATGCGTTTATGCGTCGTGCGATTGTTGGTACTCGTTTTGGTTGTACGTTTATTGTGTGTTTCCTGCACGCCGCTCTCAGGTGTAGCATGCGGCGTGCCTTGAGGAGGGTCTGACTGCAGATAGAGTACTGTAGGTGGAGGGTGATGACCGTCCAATGACGATTTCCGTTCGGGTTCTGCTTTTGTTCAGCAAAACAAATGAATGAAGTGGGCTCTTTGGTTGAACGGAAGCCGGAAAGTTGTCAACGGAAAGGAGATTGATTAGTTTACTGGTGGTTGTTTTCGACCGTAAGATCAAGTGAGATTAATGTTTTGGCCCTTCGGAGTGCTAGCTTAATCATCATGTTTCTATCACAGTACGCACAACAATGTAACAAAGAACAGTGGATGATTCTCTTGAAAGCCGGTGATGCCTTCGTTGAGAAAAGGAGCCGGCAATTTCCAGTCCTTCACAATCCATTCTCATGAAGTGCCGTGCCTGGGACCGCGGTTAACATGTAGTAGTATGTTCTGGTCGTGGCAGTCTCTGGGCCGTCAATGGAACCCCCCCGCCAGGGAGCAATGAAAGAGAGCTAATTTGCTGCGATTCTCACCAAAGTTCCAAACAAGAATAGAAGCCCCAGCATTGCTGCCCGGGCCTTGCTTGTTACATTGTTCGGCGAATTCTTGCAACCATCCATCCGAGTTTACCCAAGAATACGTGTAACGCGTACAGGATGGAAGATGGAGGCACCACCCGTGTAACCTTGTGGTATGCTTGTGCAGGATGACCAAGTTTTCAAGAAAACATGCAAGCCTTTCCATTCTTCCGTTGTTCCTTTTGTGCCGAGTTCCCGACCGCGAAGCAGATATCGCTGGGATGGTCGGATCTCGACGAACCCTTCGCGCACTACGGACGTATCTGCTGTAGTCAAGCTGCTTCTCGCTGCACAAGCGTACACAGAACGAACGAAGATATAGTCTTCGTCGAGTACGCGCTTGAACACTGTTGTCGGGGCATCCACGCCCGATCGAATGATTCCTACAACAGCCTACATGGATGGGTGAATATGTCTACTAGAGTAGGCCGGCATTGATCTGTAAACATCAACACGTGTCCTAGCCCAGGTTGCACGTAAGTACCGTGTGTCCTTGTTGTTCTGGACGTTTCTCTATTTCGCCCGGATCGCCATGTGTTCCGGGACACATGGACCGGGGTCACAAGAAACAGAAGCGTCTCGATTCGGATCAATCTCGTCTTCGAAGTTGCAGTCAGGCTGCCAATAACACGAAAAATCTAGGCCGAGAGGCGGCAGGCATGCGTCTCGATCCCTGCTGAAGCGCTCCCGTCACTACCACTAATGTTCTACTGTTCTCTCGCAAACTCTTCGCTGGCCACCCACAACATCACCAAGGCTTCACGTGCAAGGAACGGTTAGACTAAGATATACTTATGCAGGCAGGCATGACGTCCTTGTCTATCCCTTCTAAAACTCACCCAACATCACATCACCACTTCTGCTGTTCTTCCACACGCGATCTTCGCTAGGCACCAAAATCACACCGAGGTTTCACGTCGAGTAGTCCAGAGGAGTAGAGGACAAACCCACGCCACGGCCTTCTGACAGCTACGGATGGCCGGATTACAGAGTAGTGTTGACATTCCTACTAGAAATCCACGTTTGCCGCTTAGTGGGACTCGCAGCACTGCTCGGTGGTGCAGTCGTCGTCGGTGCAACGGGTCGCGCCGGCGTCCTCGATAGGGATGTAGCCGTCGGGGCACGCGTAGTAGCTACAGTAGGCTTCGCAGCAAAGGCCGACATCGCACCCGTCGCCGTAGCACTCGACCTCCCAGGCGTTGGGGATGGGGGTGTACCCGCCCGGGCAGCCGATCGAGTTGCAGTACGTCTGCCCATCTCCGGTGTCGCCTGTAGTCATGCATAAAACGAAATTCAGGTCGGCATTGAGAATTGAGAGTGCGCATGAATACCTCGATATTTCAACCGCCACTCAAGGAGGGTCCGGCGGAAGCGGGGGGGGGGGGGGGGGGGGGGGCCCCCTTTTTTTCCCCGGGCCCCCCCCCTTTTTGGGGGACCCCCCCCAAACCCCCCCCGGAAAAAGGGAAAAAAAAATGGGTTTTTTTGGGGGGGGGCGGGGGGGGCCCCAAAAAAAAAGGGGGGAAACCCAAAAAAAACCCCCTGGTCCCGAAAACCCCAAAAAACCCAACCTGGGGGGGGGGGGGATAATCCTTGGGGGCAAGGGGG